TCACGGCTTCTCTTAGGCTTTGAAAAACTGCTAGCTTCTTATTTTTGCACTCTGGGACCATTATTATGCAAAATTAAGAGGCATTTTTGGGCCACAATAAACCTAGGATAACTAAAACAGCAGATACCGAATCAGTGGATACGGGGGTTCTACTGTCATTTTCTGCTGAAAGCTTTAATTAACCCTTTCAGGATTTCCGACGTACTAGTACGTCTTATGCATCAAGGTTATCGACGTACTAGTACGCGTAAATTCTAGTGCTTTCAAATCTAGCTAGAGAAAGCTGGTAGGCCTACATATGAAAGAATGGGTCTATGTGGTCAGTGTGCGTAGTATAAAAAAAATCCTGCAGCACACAGTGCATAATGAGAAAAAAAAGCTTTGACCATGTTTTCGGTTTAAAACAGCGCCTTCGCACTGTATTTTCGGATGGTATTTATGGTTGTATTCTAGTTTTCCTGGTCTCATTTTATAGAATGGAAGATATATTACAGAAATTGAGATGATTTTGATTGATTTCACAATGAAAAGTACCTTGGAATTGAGCTCAAAGTAGCAAAAATGTTCAATTTTTGCCAAAGTTCAAAAGTAAACAAATCATGCCACACATCCAATACACGTCAACTTGTGAGCCTAATATTCTTTCACAGTGAGCGGATATTATTTATACCATTTCTACACTAATGCAGTAGTCTGCATAACACTAAATCTATTTTTTGTGAGAATAAAAATTCAAAGTGGAATGCAAAAGAAATGTAAGAAAGGCCTAGGGACATGACTAATGAACAGAGGAAATGTTATTTTAGTGTCAGGAATGTCTATCTTGTTTATTCTGGACCCTATTTGGAAATTGGCATCTTTTGAAATTTGTGAGAAATTGGCAAAATTGCTAATTTCTGACCACTTTATTGGATAGTTGAAATCGGTAAATGAGTGGTTTCTTGTGCTCATTCGATAGAAAAAATCGAGTTCTAGCGAAATAGTTATGATTTTTGCCGACTAGTACACTGGAATTGGCCAAAAATAGGGCTCAAAGTGGGCGAAATCGTCGATGCGTCGACATCGTCGAGACCGCTAACTTCGCGAGAGCATAATTCTTTAAGTTTACCATCAAATTTCATACTTTTGGTGTCATTATGATCAGGAAGAGATTCTCTATCATTTCATAAGAAAAAAATAATTTTGTTTTTCCGAAAAATTTTCGGCAATGAGAACAGGTTTAGGAGAGGGCCTCTCGACCCTTAAAGGGTTAAACACTAGAATAAATGAAATAAATTTATTTATTGTTGTGCTTGCAAAGAAAGTTGCAGAACTAACATTACCAAAGCAGTAAATTTTAGAATTTTACTAGAACTGTAGAATTAATCACAAAGATCATTAGCAAAATGTTACGAATTGCATAAAATCAAGGGATCACTATCAACTGCAGTGTAAACAATGTAAGTGAGCACATACTTCATGCAATGCCATTTGTGGTAAAAAAGTAATCTCATAATTTTGTGTGGACTAATAGAGGTGCTGACAGTCCGTTGCTGGTAAATGAGCGTTGTACCTGTACTACTGTATATTCATTTAAAAATAAACAGGGGAAGGGGGAGGGGATTCGAGGTTAGATGCAAGCCTATGAGACTTTCGTATTAAGCAACATCATTACTATTTTTGGGGGGAACAGAGGTAATTTTGGGAGGTTGAAGCCCCTCTCCCCAAGCCCCCCTTGGTACCATCTTTAATGTTATCAACAAACAAATTGTCAGCTGTAGTTTGTTTTCTTTTGTATACCTTATTAGAATAAAAATTAGATTTTGATGTTTGTGTACTGCATCCAAAACTCACCAGAACTCAGTAAATCCAGTCTAGCAAGGATGGGACAATAAATATTACTAAATACAGTATCTATAATGTTGCTCAGCTAATGACAGAAGACCAAAATGAATTTACTCTCTCTTACCTCAGCTTTTTTCTTTTTTGTTGGCATGTTGGCCAACATGCTTTTGATATTGCCAGTTGCATGCTTGGCAGATGATCCTGACTTGTCACTGGATCCTTTAAACTTTTTGCCACTCTTATTTTTTTTGGACAGGAAGAGCTCATCCCCATCTATGTCCTCATCAAATATCTCTCTTCCATCTTCCACATATCCTGTGCCATCTTTAGGGATGTACCAGTACAGAATTATTAGGAACAGTATAAACAGAACTAATGTAAAAGAAATATTTTTCCTCACAGGAGTTATGAGATACTGACAGAGACCAATAACAATAGTACTTTAGTTAGAATTATTTCCTCTTAAACCAAAAGTTATTTTATTTTATTAACACATCGGCTGATTCCCACCAAGGCAGGGTGGCCTGAAAAAGAAAAACTTTCATCATCAATCATTCCATCACTGTCTTGCCAGATGGGTGCTTTACACTATAGTTATAAAACTGCAACATTAACATCCCTCCTTCAGAGTGTAGACACTGTACTTCCCATCTCCAAGACTCAAGTCTGGCCTGCCAGTTTCCCTGAATCCCTTCATAAATGTTACGTTGCTCACACTCCAACAGCACGTCAAGTATTGAAAACCATTTGTCTCTATTCACTCCTATCAAATACGCTGACGGATGCCTGCTGGAAGTCCAAGCCCCTCGCACACAAAACCTCCTTTACTACCTCCCTCCAACCCTGCCTAGGCCGACCCCTACCCCGCCTTCCCTCCACTACAGATTTATACACTCGAAGTCATTCTATTTTGTTCAATTCTCTATACATATCCGAACCACCTCAACAACCCCTCCTCAGCCCTCTGGATAACAGTTTTGGTAATCCTACACCTTCTAATTTCCAAACTACGAATTCTCTGCATTATATTCACACCACACATTGCCCTCAGACATGACATCTCCACTGCCTCCAGCCTTCTCCTCGTTGCAACATTCATCAGCCATGCTTCACACCCATAAGTGTTGGTACAATTATACTCTCAAACATTCCCCTCTTTGCTTCCATGGATAAAGTTTTGTCTCCAAAGACTCCTAAGTGCACCACTTTCCCTTTTCCCCTCATCAATTCTATGATTCACTTCATATTTCATAGACCAATCTGCTGACACATCTACTCCTAAATATCTGAATACATTTACTTCCTCCATACTCTCTCCCTCCAATCTGATATCCAATCTTTCGTCACCTAATCTTTTTGTTATCCTCATAACCTTACTCTTTCCTATATTCACTTTTAATTTTCTTCTTTTACATACTCTACCAAATTCATCCACCAACCTCTGCAACTTCTCTTCAGAACTTCCCAAAAGCACATACCCTACCAGCAACAAAAGACTGAATACCTCTTTCCCTGTAATTAATCCAAAATGTCAAAGGAAATGCCAATGAAAAAATTTACAAGTGGCTACAATGAAAACCAATGTTTTTCCCTGAACGGGAAAATAATGCTTTCCCCAGTGATAATAACACAACCAATGAAGTTGATATCCAATGTCCAAGCCTGACATAATTTGAACAAATGTAAGACTAAAGTTTTCACTGCTGACACCTTTGTTTTTGGGTTACACTATTTAGAGTACTCGTAATGATTTGCACCCCACCACCTGTTGATGGTAATCTTGGAACACCTTTATTTGGGTGACACAAACAGGTGAAACACTGTCTGAAATCTCCCCAGTTTATTTGCTTTTTTGTGACTTTGTAGTGGCAAAGGACTTGTTAACTATGGCTGTGAAAGGTAAGGACAGGTATCCTGTATGCAGGGCTCAGTTAGAAAGAACATTAAGGCACTTAAATGTCTTTTAAAATGAATGCTTTCACACAGCCTGTATAAATTTAGACATGGTAGTAGGTTAGTAGACAGCATTCGTCCAGAGAGGTACTACCATCCTGCCAAGTGAGTGTAAAACTGAAGCCTGTAATTGTTTTACATGATGGTAAGACTGATGGTGTATTTTTTTGTCTCAAAAACATCCAAGGTTTCAGGTAAGTCTTGCTACTTCTACTTACACTTAGGTCACACTACGCATGCATGTACAAGCATATGTATACACACACCCTTCTGGCTTCTATTTTCTTACTAGTTCTTGTTCTTGTTTATTTCTTTTTATCTCCATGGGAAACTGGAACAGAATTCTTCCTCTGTAAGCCATGCATGCCGCAAGAGGCGACTAACATGCTAGGGGCAAAGGGGCTAGTAACCCCTTCCCCTGCATACATTACTAAAGTTAAAAAGAGACTTTTGTTTTTCTTTTTGGGCCACCTAGCCTCGGTGGGATACAGCAAGTTTGTTGAAAGAAGGAAGAAGATAAAATTTTATGCACAGGCATAATAGTTTGGGTTTCGGTGGTTGTGCAATGAATGTGTGTTTGAAGTAATGTTGATTTTTGTTAAGGAAAGAGCTCTGATTTTCAGGGACACTGGTGGATTACATTTCTGTGAGAGTGGCTGGAGCAGTGAATGATGATGGAAATATTTTAAATGATTCTGCTATAAAATTGCAAAAGGTGGAAGAGAATGTTTCTAAGTAACAACCTGCAGAACTCTGTAGGCTCTCCTCATTCCTCTGATGACATTGTTAGGAAGGGCATTAGAGTATAAAAGTACACTTTCAGAAGTTGCCTGACATCTGGATAATTGTGAAGAACATGGTATAGTATCATTATGCTCTGGTTGTCAAGCCAAAACCTGATGTCCCAGATGACAATGAAGCTGTTAGTCATGTAACCAATTTAATTCAGGATTCATTAAGCTCAGTCCCACTAAAAAAGGTAAGAGACTATATATCATACTTTGGTGCTTAGTTTCTTCAACTGCTGAAGCTTAGCAGGAGGCCAGAAGCAATATGACTTCCTCTCCCACTCGAGCAAAACAGAATGACTTGGAGTATAAATCAGCAGTGGATTGAAGGCAGGGTAGGGGGTCATCCTAGGAAAGGATGGGAGGGGGTAAAGGAGGTTTTGTGTCCAAGGGGCCTGGACATCCAGTAGGCATGTGTAAGCATGTTAGATAGGAATGGAGGCAAGTGGTCTTTGTGACCCGTCAAGCTGTTGGAGTGTGAGCAAGTTAACATTTTGTGAAGGGATTCAGGGAAACCAGTTAGCTGGAGGTGGGAAGTACGGTGCCTGCATTCTAAAGGAAGGGTGAGGATATTTGCTGTCGTATTTACCTGCATCTCGTAAGACAGTAATAGTGTGAATGATGAAGAGTGTTTCTTCTTCAGGTCACCCTGCCTCAGTGGGAGACAGCCAGCACGTTAAATAAATAAAATAAATAAATAAATATTATATATATATATATTTTTTTTTTTTTTTTTCAACAAGTCGGCCGTCTCCCACCGAGGCAGGGTGACCCAAAAAAGAAAGAAAATCCCAAAAAAGAAAATACTTTCATCATCATTCAACACTTTCACCACACCGCACATTATCACTGTTTTTGCAGAGGTGCTCAGAATACAACAGTCTAGAAGCATAACACATATAAAGATACACAACATATCCCTCCAAACTGCCAATATCCCAAACCCCTCCTTTAAAGTGCAGGCATTGTACTTCCCATTTCCAGGACTCAAGTCCGACTATATGAAATAACCGGGTTTTTCCTGAATCCCTTCACTAAATATTACCCTGCTCACACTCCAACAGATCGTCAGGTCCCAAGTACCATTCGTCTTAATTCACTCCTATCTAACACGCTCACGCATGCTTGCTGGAAGTCCAAGCCCCTTGCCACAAAAACTCCTTTTACCCCCTCTCTCCAACCCTTTCGAGGACGACCCCTACCCCCCCTTTCCCTTTCCCCCTATAGATTTATATGCTTTCCATGTCATTCTATATATATATATTCTATATATTTTATATATATAATATATATATATATATATATAAGCCTGCTTGATTCAGTGGGATACGGCCAGGTTGTTGAAAGAAAGAACCCCTGCTTGATAAATAGAGAGAGAGAGAAGAAGGAGAGGAGAGAGAGAAGAGAGAGTGAGGAGAGGGAGGGAGGGAGAGAGGGAGAGAGAGAGAGAGAGAGAAGAGAGAGAGAGAGAGAGAGAGAGAGAGAGGAGAGAGAGAGAGAGAGAGAGAGAGGGGAGAGAGAGAGAGAGAGAGAGAGAGAGAGAGGAGAGAGAGAGAGAGAGAGAGAGAGGAGAGAGAGGAGAGAGAGGAGAGAAAGGGAGGAGAGAAAGGGAGGAGAGAAAGGGAGGAGAGAAAGGGAGGAGAGAAAGGGAGGAGAGAAAGGGAGGAGAGAAAGGGAGGAGAGAGGAGAGAGAGAGATGAGAGAGAGAGAGAGAGAAAAATAAGAACATAAGAACATAAGAAAGGAGGAACACTGCAGGAGGCCTGCTGGCCCATACTAGGGCAGGTCCTTTACAATTCATCCCACTAACAAAACATTTGCCCTACCCAATTTTCAATGCCACCCAAGAAATAAGCTCTGATGTGAAAGTCCCACTCAAATCCAACCCATCCCACTCATGTACTTATCCAACCTAGATTTGAACTACCCAAAGTCCCACCCTCAATAACCCAACTAGGTAGACTGTTCCACTCATCAACTACCCTATTTCCAAACCAATACTTTCCGATGTCCTTTCTAAATTCTAACTTATCTAATTTAAAATCCATTACTGCGCGTTCCCCTCTTGGAGAGACATCCTCAAGACCTTATTAATATCCCCTTTATTAATACCTATCTTCCAACTTATACACTTCGATCAGGTCTCCTCTCATTCTTGGGTCTAACAAGTAAATGTAACTTAAGATTTTCAATCTTTCTTCAAAAAGGAAGATTTCTGATGCTATGTATTAATTTAGTCATCCTACGCTAATGTTTTCTAACGAATTTATGTCCATTTTGAAATACGGAGACCAGAACTGAGCTGCATAATCAAGGTGAGGCCTTACTAATGATGTATAAAGCTGCAGTATGACCTCTGGACTTCTGTTGCTTACACTTCTTGATAAAATCCCAGTAATCTATTTGCCTTATTACGTACGCTTAGGCACTGCTGTCTTGGTTTAAGGTTGCTGCTCACCATAACCCCCAAGTCCTTTTCGTAATCTGTATGGCTAAGTTCTACATCATTTAATTTATAAGTACTAGGGTTAGGGGCCCACTCCCAAGCTTCAGAACCTTGCATTTATCTACATTGAACTGCATCTGCCACTTTTCTGACCAAGAATAGAGTTTTTTTTAAATCCTCCTGAAGTTCCCTAACATCTACGTTTGAATCAATTATCCTACCTATCTTTGTGTCATCGGCGAATTTGCTCATATAAACTAGTAATTCCCTCATCAAATCATTGATATATATTATAAATAACAACGGGCCCAAGACTGATTCCGTGGAACGCCACTTGTTCAGATCCCCACTCGGATTTAACCCCATTTATGGACACTCTCTGCTTCCTGTCAGTGAGCCATAAACTCGATCCACGAGAGCATTTTTCCCCCCAATGCCATGAGCTGCCACTTTCTTTAACAGTCTATGGTGCGGAACTCTATCAAAAGCCTTACTAAAATCTAAGTAAATAATATCAAATTCTTTATTGTGGTCAACGCCTAAAAAGCTTTACTGAAGAAAGTTAATAAATTAGTTAGACAAGACCGGCCTCTTGTGAATCCATGCTGAGTATCATTAATCAAGCTATGCTTATCGAGATGGCTTCTTATAATCTCAGCTATAATTGACTCTAGTAATTTGCCTACAATTGAGGTCAGGCTTATTGGGGGGGTAAATTTGAGGGGTAACGACTTTCCCTGTTTTAAAAATAGGAATTACATTAGCCATCTTCCACATATCAGACACTACACCTGTTTGAAGAGATAAATTAAAAATATTAGTTAAGGGTTTTCACAGAGTTCCATTTTGCATTCCTTAAGAACCCTTGAAAAAACCTCATCAGGACCCGGCGACTTATTTTGCTTCAGTCTGTCTATCTGCCTCACAACCATCTCACTAGTGACTGTGATGTTACATAATTTATCTTCTTCTAGCCCACTGTAAAAATTAATTACTGGAATATTGTTAGTGTCTTCCTGTGTAAAAATGAGAGAAAATAATTTTTTTAAAATCAAGCACATTTCATTCTCATTGTCAGTAAGGTGCCCATAGTTATTTTTAAGGGGACCTATCTTATCTCTAACTTTTGTTTATAACCTGGAAAAACTTTTTGGGTTAGTTTTAGAACCCCTAGCAATTTTAATTTCATAGTCCCTTTTAGCTTTTCTTATCCCCTTTTTAATGTCCCCCTAATGTCAATTTATGATTCATAAGATGACCCTCACCTCTTTTGATACGCCTATAAATTCCTTTCTTATGCCCTAGTAGATATTTGAGCCTAATTTTTCATCCATTTTGGGTCATTTCTATTTGATCTAATTTCTTTATATGGATAAACGCTCTTTTAGCAGCAGTATAGTGTTCAGAAAAAATGTCATATTGATAGCTCTCTTCGTTACCCCAGTCAACAGATGATAAGTGTTCTCTAAGCCCATCGTAATCTGCTAAGCGAAATCTGGGACTGTTACTGAGTTATCGCTACTATCGTACTTCCATTCAATGCTAAATGTAATTGATTTGTGGTCGCTAGCACCCAGTTCCTCTGAAATTTCTAAATTATTAACAAGGGATTCAAATTTTTTGCCATAACTAAAATCAAGCAGGTTATTTCCCCTTGTAGGTTCTGTCACAAACTGCTTTAAAAAACAATCCTGAAATTACTTCTAAGAAGTCGTACGATTCTAAATTCCCAGTCAAGAAATTCCAATCAACATGACTAAAGTTAAAGTCTCCTAGAATTACTACATTATCGTGCCTTGTGGCCTTAACAATTTCCTCCCATAGTAGTTTCCCTTGGTCCCTATCTAAGTTAGGGGGACGGTATATACTCCTAAAAACAGTTTTTCATGCCCCTCTGAAAATTCATCCAAACAGACTCTGTATGTGTTACTTCAGACTTAATACCCGTTTTTATGCAACAGTTCAAGCGATCTCGGACATACAATGCCACCCACCCCCCCTCCCAATACTTCTATCTTCTTGGAACAATTTAAAACCCTGAATAGACATTCCGCAGGCATGTCCCCCACTTTTGAATTAAACCACGTCTCAGTTAAGGGAAATACATCAATGTTACCTACACTAGCAACTAATCTCAACTCGTCCATCTTATTCCTAGCACTACGGCAAATTTGCATAATAAACATTGAAAGACTCTCCTTTCTCTTTACCTTCCTGCTCATTTCTATTTTCCTACTAAACCTATTACTGTCCTTATCACCCAAGGTCCTGGCTTTTCAATATCTATCTCGTTCTTATTATTACTAGTTTCCCTAGAAATCGTAATATTACTACACTGGGAAATTCACTGTTTTCCTGCCAAAACCCATACCCACTAACTATTCCTAGTTTAAAGTCCTAACTGCTCCCTCCACTGCAGTTGCCAGTGCTTCCACCCCACACCTAGATAAGTGAAAACCCCCCCCTAGCATACATGTCATTTCTGCCATAAAAAGAGGTCCCAGTTGTCAATGAATGTTACCGCATTTCCTTACAGTATTTGTTCAGCCAGCAATTGACACCAATTGCCCTGGACAACCATTCACTCCAACTCCCCTCCTTGGCAAAATACCACATATGAGAGGTTTCCCACCCTTACTTCTAATTATTTCTATTGCTGACCTATACCTGCTAATCAGGTCCTCACTCCCACGTCTGCCAACATCGTTGCCTCCAGCACTGAGACAGATAATAGGATTGCTCCCCTTACCTCTCATGATGTCATCCAGACGGCTAAAAAATATCCTCCATCCCAGCCCCAGGAAAGCAAACTCTCTGTCTTTCCCACTCCTGTCCTTCAAGCAGAACGCCTATCCATATACCTAACTTGGCATCCCCAACAACAACAATATTCTTTCCTTCCCTTTAAAGTCTTTCGTCGTGTCGTTCCCAGTAGTCAACTCACATTCGTCGGGTAGCACTGAGAATGTTTTTGGATGTTTCCACAACAGTTTCC